CCCTATGCTGTACTTTACACACCATGACTATTTTTTTAAAACCACTATACACACACACACACACACACACACACACACACACACACACAAATGAGTCAGTCTCTACTAGTGAATGAAACCTGCTCATTCAACAAGGGTCTTAGACATTTTAATAATATAATCTTTGGCAAGTAGAGTTTTGTAATAATAAATCCCAACTCTGTTACTGGGCAAAATTGAGTTTGAGAAAGATGGAAGAAAAAGTAGAGTGTAAAGATGAAAAAAAATCAAGAAAAAACAATTTGAAGGTCAAAGTGCTTTTATTTTACAGTTCTAAGTGTGCAAATAAACACATTCTGCATATTAATGAAATGGTCAAACAAAAGGCATACGAATCGACATGCTCTTCCATCTTCCCACCTGCCCTTGTGTGCCCAGCCCAAAACACCTCATTGCCCACCAACACTATTTGCAAGGGAACCACGGGGAGAAGTTTGGCAGGTGCAAACTGCCACCAGCTGGTCAAAACCAAGCCTTACACCAGTTTTGTGACTTTAGTTTAGCATGATAAAATATGGCTTCCTTTAAAGGGCATTGTTGGTCAAGGTATTTATCATTGGAGTTACTTTTTTAGATGACAAATTGGTAAGGAGTTAAGTGACATGAAAAACTTAATTGCTACTATCCACACAACATAATAGCAACCACAGGCATGATGGCTCTGTGGTCAACCGGAAACTACCGGTCTATTTGACTTGGTGTTTTCTCTTCATGTCTAATTTGCCTCCATGCCTGAACTTTCTGCCTCTTACCTTTCAATTGTTTCTGCCCTAAAGAACTGATTTCATTTGCTATATTATTTTCCTCTTCTCCAATGGGTTCACTGTATATAGAATCTTCCTGTTGGTCCTCTTATAACTTTTTTAGTGTGCCTTCCCTTTCCCATTCTCTTATTAGGCCTATACTATTTTTTCCCAGTTTTCTTCTTTCATTCAAATTACGTGTATATCCATGACTTAAGAACAGCCCAGTTCCAGAAAACTTGGGCATGAATTTTTTTAACAATATATATTTTATTGATTTTTTTACAGAGAGGGAGAGGGATAGAGAGTTAGAAACATCGATAAGAGAGAAACATCGATCAGCTGCCTCCCGCACACTCCCCACTGGGTATGTATCCACAACCAAGGTACATGCCCCTGACCAGAATCGAACCTGGGACCCTTCAGTCCGCAGGCCGACGCTCTTCTAGCCACTGAGCCAAACTGGTCAGGGCTGGGCATGAACTTTTTAAAGACAATGTGCTCATTCTGCAAATATTGCCGAGTACCTCTAACATCAGCCATTGTTCCGAGTGCCAAGGATTCCAAACCATGAATTACAATTGGTCTGTACCTCAGGGACCTCATATGGTCTACACAGCCAAGGAGAAAAACAAGCACACAATGACTGCTCTTTGAAACTGGCAAGTTTGCTATGAGAGGATGAAACCATAATCGCCCCCCCGCCCCACCCTCGCCCCGGTTGGTGGGGAGAGGCAGGTGAGAACCTTAGAAAGGCTCTGCAAGGGAGACATCAGAGCTGGATCTTTGAACAATAAGCAGAGCTTTAGCTAACTGAAAGGGAAAAAGCTGGGGGTAAGGTCACAAAAAGGATGTTCTAGAGAGAAGGTACCACTGAGCTAAGGCACACGGTAAAGTGCTTGACTGGTTAGAACAGAGAACTTGGTCAGGCTCAAACAGAGGTGGTGGGAGTGGCAGGTGAGTCAGGAGTGCTACAAAGCACTCAGCTTGTGGGAGGCAGCCTGCAGTACATGACCTTTTATTCTATAGAAAACAGGGTGTGATGAACTTTTTTTTTTTTATAGGTTATAAGCTTGATTTTTTTTTTTTGTCTAAAGTTTTACATGTCTCCTTTTCCCCTAATTGACAATCCATTGGTTACGCTAATATGCATGCATACAAGTCCTTTAGTTGCTCTCTACGCGCCCCCCCCCCCTCTACCATTTGTCTCTAGATCGATCTATTCTTGTTCTGTGATGAACTTTTTAAGAAAATTTCTGTTACTCACATGGCAGAACTGGGTTGAAAAAGAGACCTGCGTAAGGATAATAGTAGTAAGGAGGCTACTGCATGAGTCCAAGTTAAAGTTAATGAGAGCTTGAATCTAAGGCCCAGGGAAAGGAAATGACATCTGAAACATTTTGGTGGTTATTAAAACAGACTTTTTTTTTTAACAGTTGAGAGGTGGAAAGCAAAAACACAGGCATCAAATGCAGTTCATGATTTGCTCAGGTGATGCCAAAAAAAGGAACAATAGTAGGAAGCACAGGTAAGGTTTTACCTTTGATAATGAAGTGGAGGTAATAAAATGTTTTAGATGCAATTACATATTTGTGGAATATTAAAACACAGACCTCCAATAAGCAGCAACAAATTTGGGTCTGAACCTCAAGTTTGAGGGTAGACAGGTATACTTCAGGGTTACCACTAATACAAGAGCTGAAGTCCTAAATACAAATGGCAAGCTAGTGGAGCTTGTTCTTAAAGATTTCTTGTAATGTTTGAATTTTTTTATAAAGGGACTCCTTAAAGCAGAGGCATATCTGCATTAATAAGAGAACATAGTATATTATAAAATCAATAAAAGGTTAGATGAATGAAGGTCTAAAAATAAAGAGTAAGTATAACAGTTGATTTTTAAAAAAAAAAATTTGTAATGATTTCAAAGAGGATGGGAGGAGAGATGGAAACATCAATGATAAGAATCATTGATCTCCTGCATGCCTCTATGGGGGATCGAGCCCACAACCCAGGCTTGTGCCCTAACCTGGAACCGGACTGTGACCTCATAGGTCGATGCTCAACCATTGAGCCATGCCCGCCAGGCTATAACAGTTGATTTTGATAGAGCAAAGTTAAAGGATTACATTGACTCCTCAGTAGAAACAGCATCTAGGGAAATTATGTAAAATGCGAAGGGATAAAAGAAGTGAGGAAAAGAGAAAATGGGCAAAAGGAAGGGAAGACTTACTTTTAAAAATCATTTTGCACACTGGCCAGTTGGCTCAGTTGGTTGGAGTATCGTACTGTATACCAAAAGGTTTTGGGTTCGATTCCTGGCCAAGGCACACACGTAGGTTGGGGCGTGTATGGGAGGCAACCGATCAACGTTTTTCTCTTACATCAATGTTTCTCTTTCTCTATTTCTCTAAAAATCAATAAACACATCCTCCAGTGAGGATTTTAAAAAATCATTTTGCTAATCCGTAAGTGAATCAGACGTGGAAAAATGTTGAATTGACAATGAGATCTAATGAAAAAGTCAAACCAAGGATAAGAAAGGGCAAATAAGAACTCAAGAGCAAAAAACATTAAAAAGGAATACAGAATGACCAAAAAAAACCCCCAAAAACTAAAAAGAGAATGGAATAATACAATGAAGTTGTTAAGAAATATATACCTTCTCCCCCAAAAAGCAAATTAAATAAATTGACAGGACAAAGTGAAATGCCAAGTGCTTAAAATGAACATGTCTGCGTGATTATTCAGGAGTATTACACTACTGGGTAGGTGTCTAGGATTCTGGGAGTTGAATCTAAGTGCTTCAACATGCTATGCAGCCTTGGGCAAGCTGGAAAAAATGGTTATGAGGATTGTAATGATACATGTAACATGCCTAATATGTAGTGCTCAATAAATGAAGGTTATGGGGAAAACATTAGATGTCTTGATTAGTATCTATATGAAAGTCAAATTTCCAACAAATTTTCTAATCTAAAACATGGATTCAGTTACAGCACTTATAACTGCTCAAGACAGTTTTCTACTTTTGGATCAACCTTCTCTGTAATGAATAGGATGTGAGCCTCAATTTGCCCATTCTATATCAAACTATGAAACATATGCTACAAATTTTCTTTCGGGACCTTTACTGCACAAGCTATTTGGTCCAATCAGTTAATTTGCAATTATAGTAGTAACACCTATACACCCACTGCTCTTTGCCTTTTTGCTGAGCTGTTTGAAAAGACACCCAGGGAGGATTCGGTCAGTTTTGCTAAATACACTAACCAAAAAGCCTTAACTGTGTGGCCACCAACATTCAAGCCTTTAGTCATAAAAAACCCCAATGGGATGGGAAATTAAATTATGAGATGTTTTCTTATACATGTATTATTAAATACTGTGGGTGCAGAAGTAATTATCCATTTGTCTTAACTTGCTTTTGCTAGACGTCCTGATAAAAGTAGAAAATATAAAAGATAAGATCCTTAAATGTGATTTTGTGGAACTGAGACCAAAAATTTTTTTTAAATATATTTTTATTGATTTCAGAGAGGAAGGGAGAGGGCAAGAGATAGAAACATCAACGCTGAGAGAGAATCATTGACCGGCTGCCTCCTGCACGTCCCCTAGGGGGATCGAGCCCACAACGTGGGCATGTGCCCTTGACTGGAATTGAACCAGGGGCCCTTCAGTCCACAGGCCAATGCTCTATCCACTGAGCCAAACCAGCTAGGGCCAAAAATTTTTTTTCTGTACAACCAGATCCCTAAATGTACTACAGAAAAATATTGATAGAATTTTGTTTGGTATACAACCTTATAAGAATGCATCTCATCCACTAAGTTAGTTCAAACTATAGAATTCTTCCAGTTCACCAGAGCTGGACAGTTTTCAAAGCTTCTGGGTACTTACCTTTGACTTCCACTTCCTGCATGTCTGGGGTTCTTAACTGGGGGACCATGGCCCTCTGGGTTACAGGAGGCTTCAGGAGTCCTGAGAATTCCCTGACATAGTATGTGATACTTGGTATACACATACACATGCGTTTTTTCTGGGTAAAGGCACATACCTTTCATCAGATTTTCAAAGGCTTTCCAAATAGCATAAGAACCAGTTAGACATTTAAATGAGCAGATGTATGTACAATCTGCCAAATATTTTTAACATTTGTGAAATTTCTTAGTTTAATACGCATCTTGGGAAGTTCAGTGTCACAACAGCCAGAAAAGCTACTTTTAAGAGTAATTCCACATCTTTACTTCCTAGTAATTCACACAATCTTCAACCCACTGCAATTTGACTTCTGTCTCTATGATTAAGTTCCTAATTGCTAAACTCAAAATACATTTTTTGGTACTTATTTGTCCACTTGGTGGTATAGTATAATGGAGAGAAGCGGACTCTGGAGCCAAACTGCCTAGTTCAAAGCTTAGCCCATCACTTTCTAGCTCTCCAGCCTTGCACAATTTAACTCTCTGCCTCAGAATGGTATCCTTAGTAAAAAGTGTCTTTATTCATGTTGTGTGAACAGTACTTACTTCAAAATGTCAATGGGAGAATTCAATGAGCTCCCAACTAAGAAAGCATTATGTAAATATGAGTTACTATTTGGTACCTGGGATAACTCCTTTCTTGAAAATCATTTGAAACACGTCTCCTAGGTCTCATTCCAACTTGGGTGGCGCCTTAGTTTCATCTTCCTAGTTCTAGGCTTATCCCTCTCTAATGTATCTTTTACACTATGGCCAGAATGATCATTTGAAACTACAAACCTGATGCCATCTCTTGCCCCTTTATGACAGTGGGCCAGTCTAGCTTTTCTTCCTTAAGTCCCCATTGCCTACACTTACCCTACCAGGTCCATGGAACCAAACTAACTACAATCCCCAAAATGTGCCTTTTTCTTTTAACTCATGACTCTGTATAAGCCACTGACTCTGTCTAGAATTCGGTATCTATTCTCAATGTGGCCCCAATAACACTGCACACTAATTACACATTCTATTCTAGAAGGCTGTTTGGTTGCTGATACATTTCATCTAGTCAGATCTTCCCTTCCCACCACCTATAATAAAGAGTAGAAGTAGGAGCCATATTATGACAGTCTTGTTGTTTTTCTACCATCATAATCTTAAACCATTCTCTTATTCCTTTATGTCATTCCATAATCCCCCTTCTCATTTTTTAACCCACTGAGTTTATGTAGAAAAATAGCTAGAAGGTTATAGGGACATAAATAAACTAGGTAACAACACTTCACGCTGAAGGGAACATTCTAGAAGTATTTATTTCACTGCTGACCACTTGGTTACAGCATGCAACTCTCAACAGCGAGCTGCCACTCTCCACTCCTACAGAAGCACCAAATGCTATGGTGCCTCTACTTAGTTTTCAGCCTTTCACAGGCTTTTATTACCAACATCATTACCTAGGGACAAGCCCTTTGGAGACTTAAAAGCACTTATTCTCTATAAAAAGTAACTTCATATTTCATGCACAAAACTCCAATTGGCAGATGTAGGTCCAAAATGGAAAGAAAAAAATGTATTCTAGTTCTGTAAATTATCAGGAATAAAATAAGCATTTCTCCTCGCCTTGTTATAAGGAAATAGAATTATTTTTCTCTATCAGGAATCAAGACAGTAGCTTTGATGAGCCCACAATTATAAAATTGCTCACTGGTTAAAGTTCTTTCTGAAGATGTTAAGAGGTAAGAAGATGGCTCATTTTCCTGTACAATTTAAAGAAATATTTGCAGTATTTGTAGGAGTTATAGGTTATATTGCAGGTCCTTGTGACAATATTTAAAAGACCTATTCTCCCATTTAGAAAATTCAATCTCAGAAGATAAAAGAAAATCCCCATTATCCCTGAGCAAAAAGGGGAAAACATCATAGGTACTTTTGTTACTAGAAGTCACTATAAATGAGTTGCCTAGCTCTAGGTCATTCTCAGAGAATTTATATAAACTTACGCAGGTGTGAGGTGCCCTCAGACTTTCTCAGATAAATGTATTTAGTAGTTTGAATAGTCACTCTGCAAAACTTTAAATTTAATTAACCACACAACTGAACATTCTCCATTTTGAAATTTGAGACTGTCCTGAGAAGATGCCTATGGGACATGAAACTATTGGGCACAGAATAATTTTTTAAATATCAGCAAACTGTGACAAGAGGGAGAGAGTGGGGAAAACTGTAGTGGAGACAGTGAGAAAGGGGCAGGGCAAAGCTATAGTTAGGAACTGGGCCTTTCTTCTCCTCAAGTCAGGGGCCTCTGGCTACATGTATGCTATCCTCACTCTTCATATAAACTAGACGTTGAAAAATAAAATTAAGAATGTCCCAAACTAATTTAAGTCTTTTAAGGAATAAATGACAGAAAACATTTTAGCTTCTTAATCAAGGAGTGCTATAATAGAATTTCAAGGCATCTTAATATAATTCGTTTAACCCTAAAGCAATTGTGCAATAAGCAAAATATAAAAGGAAAATAACAAAGGTTAACTTCCTACAGGGGCCAATAGACAAGATCTTTGCTGCACAGCAATTAACCTTCACACACTGGAGTCTTATTTAAAAGGCCATCGGAAACTCAGATTACTGAAAATCACAAATGTCACCAACAAAAGGAATGTTGATCAGATAGAGTCAAAGAACTTCCCAGAGGGCTGCCTTCTCTGAAGGAATTTCAGCCTGTTGCTAGCACAGGTTGGTTTAGTCAAATCTCACTGATGGCTCCGTTAAAGAATGAATGCCCCAGTCAGTGCTGTTTTAAAAATGTAAAACACTGGGAGGGGAAAAATACCCAAAATAAAACAATCTACTGTTCCCTAACATATACAGCTTAGCACCCAGAGAAAGCCTCTGCCCCCAAAAGAGACTTTCCCCATAGGGTTAAGCTTCATTAAATGAGGTGTAACCTTTCATTTTCAGGATTTGTCTTTTCTTGCAAGGTCCTTAAAGGCAGAAGTTCCACTTGGATTCTAACACACATCTCTGTGAGCTCAGCTTCCTGAAAACACACACCTGCCGGGGTCTAGGTTCTCCCTTGCCAGTGACCGGGCTCACTACTTCACAGCCACCAGAATCGCACATACACTATCAACATGATGAAAAACACAGCCACTGCTGCAAGTTTGGCGTAAGTGGACCGCATGTTCAAGTACTTCGCATCTTGGCGGTATTTCTTAGACAGACTGGACAAATTGTTAGCCTTTGAATCCAATGCTGTCAAAGAAGAAGAAAGGAAAACACTAATTAGTCCATGGAAGTATTTTATCAAATGTATGAAGTCATAAAAATAACCAAAAGGAGTGGCACTAGACCAAACAACCACAATGCTTAAATGATCATTTTTATTTTAAGGGTAAGGTTACCTGTACTGATTAATTCATGATCCTAAAGCACTGAAAAATCTATAATGCATTTTAAAATTATCAGACCAAGTTATGTTCAAATTCTTGAGGCTGCATAGTGAAGTGGTTGGGAGTGCAGGCTCTGGCCTCTGACTCTTTGGTCAAATTTCAGATGCATCAGCCATGTAACTCCGCCTCACTAAGCCCCGGTTTCATCATCTATGTATTGGGGATAACAAACTATATCATAGGCTTATAGGTACACACCAATGCCTGTAAAGTGAGCACAATGCCTGCATATGGTAAACATCTGAGAAATGTTAGCCGACATTAAGCATCTCCATAATCTTTCAATGGTCTAAATTATATTACCTCATATTTTGAAAAATAATCCATGTAAAATAACATTCAGATAACCAGGAAATCCAATGAACCAGCCATTGAGTATTAAGCTATATCTCAATGATGAATGCTGCCAAATGTCTAAGATTCTCCACATTGTAGAGACTATTATAGGTGCTAGAAAACCACCAATATCTACTAAATTAAGCTTTTTAGAATATTTTGCAACATTTCTTTTCCCTACAAGTAAATGACATTTATAATGTCATTATCTTCTTATAATTGTTAACTGAGCAATTAGAGAAATAGCCAGATAGACAAAAGCTAGACTGGACTAAAATATATGGCATATTTTAATAATAAAAACAAACTCTCAATTTGACATAAATGAATTCTGATCAAACTTTTTACTTCTTTAAGTTTTTGAAAAACTATTTTGCAATCTGAATGTTTGTTCTTCCTCAGAGAATGCTTCTGGAATATTTGGAGTTGCCTAATAGAGACTGGTTTTGATTGAGAAATGTGGCATTACTTAATAGCACAGGCATGACAGCTACTTCTAAATTATCAACTTGTCCTGTAAGAAAAACACCTAGTCATGTAAAAAAAAGAAGTTACAGGATGAGAAATAACCATGACAATGCTGCAAGGAATCTTTCTAGCCAGTCTACTAGAGTGCACAACTCATTGGACAGAGGTTTTTAACTACTGTGTTTATTTTGCTATATTCCCAGTAACTAGGACAGAGTCTGGCATATATAGTCAGTGCACAATAAATAAATATTTGCTAAATGAATCTAAGCTGCTGAGACTAACTGGACAGAGGAACAAGTATTAGGTCATATGAAATAAATAATAGTTAAGTGAATTCCTCTGCATCAGAACATTTAGAAGCACATAATATTATTAAGACAAAGCTTGGAGAAGTCGTTTAGCCAATATGAGAAGACACCATGTGAAGTGCTAGAGGATACAATGATGGCCAAAACATGTTTTTTGATCCCTATATTTTTGAAATTTACAGTGACACCTTTGAATGAAAAGACAAAACCTATGACTTATGAGAAATAGGTATATGTAGGCAGTAAAAAAGGTCATAATTTGGTCTTGCTGAAAGAACTCACAGGAACTATTATTGGGTCTTAAATGCAAAGTAGACTAGCTATACAACTTTAAAAATTAGAGAAGAAGACATAAAAGATGGATTCTTATTATGAATAAGCTTAAAGAGAAAGAAAACATTATATGAGGTAGGCTTATTTTTTCATTATCCTTCAAATATGATCCATTCAGAAATGGGTTTTTTTCCTCTTAAAATACCACTCTGTACTCCTTCCGGATGTATCAAATTTCAAGAATCCTTCCTGCTCAGTTCACATTTATCTACTTCCTTCTACATTTTTATAGCTCTCATTGTCTATATGTCTATTTAAAACTATCATACAATGAAAATGGACAACTCCGTGGGCCAACAAAAAAGCAGTGTGGCTTTTAGGAAGCTATTCAACCTTTCTGAGTCTCTGCTTCTTTATCTATAAAACTGGTTTGACACCACCCACTTCACCTGGGATTGCTCTAAAGAATAAATAAAATATATGTATTCCCCCTACCATCTTGTCTAGCACAAAGTGTTCCATTGATGTTTGTTTCTTATACCATCTATAAAATTCTGACAATGTTTCTTATTTTCCCTATCAGATGAAGTTACTTCTTTTTCAATCAGCATCTCAGCTTTGTAGCAGCCAGCAAAGCAGTAGGAGAGAATTCTTTACATTTCTGATGAACTCACCAATATATGTATTTTGGATTTTTAAAAAAGTTCCTGTGGTCTACTTTATCACAAGTAGAAACTGTAAGTCTGTTATGATAAAAATATACACAGACTCACTTAAAATTACAGTGTGAAGCTATATGCTTGGACAACTGCTTCCTAGTAACATAAAGGTTAAAATTTGCAATATATAATAACAAAATTTATTCATGAATATGTAGAAAGGTTAAATTCAAGAAATATTCTTAAGACATCTACTTGTGATCACTACTATGAGAAACATAAAAGAAATATATGAAATAGACATAAAACATAAGCACTACCTTTAAAGAGTACATGTCCACATCAAACACTTAGGTAACATTTAAATACTTAAGTAACATTTAAACATTAAATATAAATATATATTTAGTATTAATAAATATATGAAGTATAAATATATTTATTAATACCAACATATATATTTCAGGAAATTTTCATAAATAAGTACATACACACATATACACAAACACCATATGGTGTTGGTTAAGCACCATATGTAGCTAAGTGCTTTAAAGAATTTATGTGCTAAAAAACACCACATGTAGTTAAGTGCTTTAAAGATTTTAATGTGATATGGACTATAAGGATCAGAAAAGGCTTATTTATTTAAATATGTTTGTATTGATTTTAGAGGGAGAGAGGAAGGGAGAGGGAGAAACATTGATGAGAGGCTGCCTCTGGCATGCCCCCTACTGGGGATAGAGCCTGCGGCCTGACCAGGAATTTAACCAACAACCTCTTGCTGCATGGGCTGACATGCAACCAACTGAGCCACACTGGCCAGGGCAGCAAAGGCTTCTTCATAGAGGTAGTTCCTACCTAGATTTAAAGAACAGGTCCAGGATGACCTGACTGAGTCAGAATGTTTGTAACTAGGGAGAAGGAGAGGAGTTTGTAATCTCCTTACCTCCCAGTATAGAGGACACAATGCTTTTGCACATTACAAGTACACAATAATAATGACTGTATTAATTAAAAGTAAGTTGAGACCAGACTAAATCTCATCTTACAGTCAGAGTTTTTAAAGTTTTCAGCAGAGGATTATATAACATTTGATCGGGCAGCAGTAAAATCTCCCCAAGTGGCTACTCAGGAAACCACAGCAATTGACAATTTCCTCTCATTCTTCTTTTCATTTCTGCTCACTTATGTAAGTGTTTCTGTAAATATTTACGTAACTTTGTAAATATCTTGGAAATAGTAATTGCTTCTGATATGGAATGAGACCCTTATTGTTTCAACTCAACAAATCTAATCATGCTAACAGAAAAATATCATAGTGGAAGCTTTATAATGTCATCTGTTTCTGAGAAATGAAGTCTTAACAGTGCTCCATAGACTCTGACAGCATGAAAGTTACTCTAATATAAGCTATCCTTGCCTCTGGAATGAGAACCATCTCTTCATAAGACTTATATGACTTTTAGCTACTACCTGAGAGTGCTTCTCCTCGTTGTAACACTTCTTCGATATTGGCCACCATGAGCCTCTGCACGTCTTGCAGTTCAGTGTTGATGGAGCCTAGGTTTCTCCGAGCACGACTGTCAGTGTATAGCTTCTTGGTTTTCTGAATGTAGGTCTCTAGAATGATGGAGAAAAATGACCATAAACGACTTCTTTCATGTCCATCAAAATACTGAATTAGGGTTTAGGGCAGTGATGGCGAACCTATGACACGTGTGTCAGAGGTGGCACACGAACTCATTTTATTGGTTGATTTTTCTTTGTTAAATGGCATTTAAATATATAAAATAAATATCAAAAATATAAATCTTTGTTTTACTATGGTTGCAAATATCAAAAAATTTCTATATGTGACACGGCACCAGAGTTAAGTTAGGGTTTTTCAAAATGCTGACACGCTGAGCTCAAAAGGTTCACCATCACTGGTTTAGGGAGTTCTGAGTTTAGTGCTGGATTGCTACTATCCATGCTTAACCAAGCTATTGAATGAGTATCAAAAGGGGAGTTTTGATTTCTTCATTTGTAAAATGTAAAGATATAATTAGATGACTATGCAGGAGAAATATCCTTTGCACACCCTCAAAGTGCAAATTAGAAGTAGCTACTTTCAGGATCCTTAGAGAAATGAAGACTCACTACAGTAAGCCTTTCCTGAAAGCAGACATTTTCCAACTGTATTATGAGACTCTTACGGTTTCATTACTTAACACGACACATTCCCTAAAAAAAAAAAAAGGTTGGCAACAATCTAGCATTTCTACAGCCTAACATGGCAAAAGAGTGATAAAGTATTTTCTTTAACATTCATCCCAATTTCACTCTGTTCGTAAACTTCGGGTAAAGCAGACATGTATTAGGGAATTTCCCAAATAACACTATAAAACTGCAGCTTCATTTGTGTTTAGGCCATGTCTATATTTCTTAGAACTATAGAAGAATGACTTATTATTAAAGATTACATCTCAACATTTAACAAAAATCTTAAGCTATTTGTGCTGGATACCTCTCATTTGCCTCTTCTGCACCCTGCTTTTGCCTTGGGAAGTTGACCTACGTGGACTACATCAATGGGCTCCTTACCCCATAGCTTTGAGCCAAAGAGGGAGCCCCAAGAGTAGGAAAGAAGAGCAAACAGTAACATCAGGGTATTTAATCCTTTAGCTCCTCCCTGAAAAGTCACCTTGGGCTGGCAATGTCCCTCCACCAACTTACACTGGAGCTGGCCTTCTCTATGAATTTTCTCCTTCCCCAATCCAGAAACTGCTTCTTTTTCTCATTCCTTTGGGCTGGGGATGGTAACAATTACTGTGTTATGCGCCCCAGTACCTTGCAGTACACCTATAACCCGTTCATGTCTCTGTCTATAATCCTTTAACCTAACTTGAGTGTACCAATTATTTCCTGTGTGACCTTGACAAAGCAGTCTTATTTTTCTTCTTGGTTTACTAGACTGCTATTGTCTACAAACATAAAATTAAAAATCACATACATTAAAGCAATCAGCTCTTGGAGAGTTATAAAACACTGGAGTATTTTGATAAACTTTATTTATTTCTAAAAAACAAGTTGACGTCCTTATCTAGAAAACTTGAAACACTTCAGAAATATAGAGATAGTAAAAACCAATTTCTTTCTTTTAACTAAAAATGTCAGCAGTGAAGGCTGACCATAGGTATGCCTTCTTACTTTTTCTCCTTGCTGTACTAGGACATTTCCTTTGATCTACTACCATCAGATACTTTAACGAGGCTGAGCAATGATGAGTCTATAATTCTTATACAGATATCAACACCCATACTCACTACTTCAGCATGTAGTAAATGTTATCCCCCAATGCCATCTATCTTCTGGTACTTTTCTTTAAAATTAGAGAATCTTATTTTTCTAAAAGAAACAAAACACCCAAAATCTTGCTGATTTCCAAATTCTGACCTCCATAAAATGAGCCTTACTGTGAGTGTGTGTGTATGTGTCTGCTTGGGAAAAGAACTTGGCTATTATATACCAACTAGAGGCCCAGTGCATGAAATCCATGCACTGGGGGGGGGTCCCTCAGCCCAGCCTGCACCCTCTCCAATCTGGAACCCCTCGGGGGATGTCCGACTGCCAGTTTAGGCCCGATCCAACAGAGATCGGACCTAAACCGGCAGTCGGACATCCCTCTCACAATCCGGGACTACTGGCTCCTAACCACACTGCCTGCCTGCCTGATTGCCCCTAACCACTTCAGCCTGCCAGTCCAATCACCCCCTAACCGCTCCCCTGCCAGCCTGATTGACACCTAACTGCTCCCCTGCCGGCCTGATCGCCCCAACTGCCCTCCCCTGCAGGCCTGGTCCCCCACCTAATAGCCCTCCCCTGCCAGCCATCTTATGACAACATGGGGGTGGCCATCTTGTGACATGAGGGCATGAGGGTCAATTTGCATATTACCTCTTTATTATATAGGATTAGGGAGACTTGACCTTAATGAAGAATCAAATCAAATAACCAAAAAGGGCAAAGGGCAACAAGTTCTATGGGGAAAAGATCAAAAGACTAGCAAAAATTACTTATAAGAAGAAAGGCCCATTCATTTAAAAGGACAAAAAGAGGTGGAATGAAAGAGGCAGAATCCAAAACTTCAGTAAAATTATGTGAAAATCGTCAGCATAACAAATAGCTTTTCCATATTCTTTGCTCCCTTGATAGAAAGGTGAGGAACAAAAACTTACCAAACTCAATAAAGCAATAGGGTCTAGACACAGTGGGCACCTTCTTTCCATACTGTTCATCAAACTCTGAGTGTAAATCTTCTAGGAAGGCGAAAGCCAACTTCTTAGGGAAGTTAGCTTCACTCAAAACCAAGTAGCACACTCCTTGTTCAATAATGTAGCTGGAGAGAGACAACAAAGAAAAAAGTTGTTTGTACAGTAACAATTTTCTGACAATTTGAAGCAGACTCTCAGTGCCATATAAGCTTTTCAACGATATTTTAACCTAAGCCGTGGGAGGCTAACTAAATCAGAAAGCCAATTTCAAGCAATAAATCCTTGGAATCAGAAAGCAAACATCTTTCCGTTATTAGAAGTATATTCCAAAAGGAGTACTTAGACATGTTTAGTATAACTGTCTATTCACTATATAATTCTTCAACTAAAATATCCTAATACCTAAGGCTTTTTCTTGATATCTTGGAGTTGTGACTCCATCCATCCTTTGATTATGTATGGTAAACTAGTATACACAGTTTTAAACTCCTTCCAGCTGTAAGAAAAAGAGTGAAACTAAAAAATGTCATGGATACTTAAAAGTTGAAATTTAACGTTATTTACAGACAATAATGACCTCAGAACTAACAATATCCCCTGGTATCAAGGTAGGAGGACTCCGTATCAACTGGAAACTGCCCAGTAACAGAGCTGGCTTCCTCTTGTGAGAGGTGAGCTCCCCACATTCTGGAAGGGGCTATGATTGAGATGAGCTACTAAGCCCAGACAAGCAGCACAAGGAAACTGAGGCAGGTAGTTAAACAAGCAGTTTATAGCCATCTAATAAAACCCTTAATCTTATTGCCCCTAAACCAAAGACACTTAAGAGTAAATGGTTTGCACGTCTCCTCCCCAACCAGAGGTAAATAGCCTAAATCACCCTAATCAGGGAGACAGATAGAAATCCAATTAATGCCATTTGTCCCAACCGTACCCACGGACAGATGAAGTTAAGGAAATAAATCTTATTTTGGCACCAGCATAAAACTGATGAATATTCTACTGAGATTCTCGCATAAACCCCCAGCCTTTAAAACATGCAAAGTCCCAGGGCATCCTCTCCCTGCCAGGAGCACCTGGTGCCTCTCCCAGCCCTCTCTACCTCCCCCACAGGCATGTATCTCCTAAACTCTAAGGAACCCCACAAGGCTTGCAACCAGGGAGCAATAGGCAGTAACCCCCTGACTTTGTCCCCCTTTTCTCTGACTTATTAGTGAGCCAAAGCAGCCCAGCCTAGGCTCACTTCCTCTTCTGTTGCTTCTTCTATCCTAGACCCTTCCTTGTTTCACTGTCCCCAGCTTTAATAACTGTCCTCTGAAAATCACCTGGACTCGAGGTGTGAAATCTTTCCTGCATGAAGTCCAGAACCCCCACACTACCAGCCCACCCCTAGGCAGACCCGCTCAGCGCCAGGTCCCCTTTCTGGTAACGTGATTACATGTCTGAGATATTCTTGGAAAGATTAGGCTACTCAGTGGTTTTCAAATGTATTTTGGCCATTGTAGTATTTATTTCAGCAAAAATTACATTCAGAAGACCAATATGTATAGAAAATATGTTCTTTAGTTTAAGGAGGCATCTATGGGTCCCCCACCCCTCCCCTGCCCTACTCCTAAGGCATCCTAGGACTCTACAGAGTAGTGTTTCTAGTCTATTATATGATCACTCAGGCTCTTTAAAATAATGTTGATGATGGTAATAATACTGCTGTCCTATCTTTTGTTGTTTTTTCCTAACCTATAGTAGAGATAAAGGTATTATATAATTAAGTGCTTTTAACCTTTTGATGTTAAAAATTAGATTTATAGGAAATGTTTTATATACTACACAAATTAATACCTTATGAAACTTAATGCCACTACTTTATTAACCAATAGGCCAGGGTTTTTTGTTTTGTTTTTGTATACTTATTTGCTTGTTTTTGATGATTGGAGGTTTTTGTTTTTTTCCTTTTAAGTTAAATACACAAGGCTGCTCCCAGATACCTTAGTATTCAAGTTCCTAAAATAGCAACATTATTCAGCTAATCCTTTTTTCTTTTCTTTGATTCTCTTATTCTCTCTTTTCTTTAATCCTTCCTGTTTTATCACCTTCAAACTTGACATGTATTAAACATTTAATACCAATTATTTGTATATCATTTGAAATCCAATAAAGTGTCTTTGATCCCTCTCTCAGCTGTATGCATTATCTATAATCAAGGATTGAAATGCTCTTGAAGTGTCTTTTATAATTCTCTTTTTTCCTAAGTAATAAGTAACACTTCTAACTATTCTCTATGTGCCAGGCAAGATATTAAGAGATATACATGGATTCCCTTTACATGGAATAAAAACTATGATTACTTTCCCTACTTTGTAGAGGAAACTGAGGCCTGGAAAAGTATATATGAGTTGTTCAAGGTTACACTATTAGTAAACTAGTATCCTGGTGCACGGATTTGTGCACATTGAAAGGAAATTAATTAGAAGAAATATTTTAATATTGCTATTTGCCCTTTCTCACAGGCAGGAGTTCAACCAACCGGGAAATAGATGTGCGCTGACCACCAGGGGGTGGCGTGTAACATGGTGGGCGTCGGCAATGCAGCGCTGGCAGTGGGTGACAGTGGAGGTGCCACTGGCCCCGATGAGCCCCGACAAGAGTGGGACTGCGGCAGGATGGTGGAACAGGTGAGTGGGCCGCACCAGGCCAAGGTGGGTGCAAGTGGGGACCCCAATTGTCCCGCCGGTCGCCCCACAGATTGGCCCTGATCACCAGCCAGGTCTAGGGACCCTACCCATGCATGAATTTTGTGCATCAGGCCACTAGTATATAGATAAACTTGCTTAACTAGATCTGCTTTCTGATTTAGCTAAACTTTTTCCAGCTCAGTGAAGCACCCAACTTCTCTTTCAGATAATTGTCAGCAACACAGCAGTAAATATCAACACAAAGCAGATTATTATTGTAGATCATGCAGGGAGAACAAAGGGTAAAATATTTAAGTGCAGCAGTGTTTGACTATATTCTGAGTAGTGAGAAAACCCGAAGTCATTTTCTTACTTCTTTTCAGTCAGGTCAAGTTTCTAAACGTTCTAAATCTCTGTTGTCTTGCTAATGAAAAGAAAATAGGATTCTACTGAGTCTCCTATGTACCTACTGCAGAACTTCTGTGAGGATCAAATGAGATGAGGCATGAGAAAATGCTTCACAAACATTTGGTTGAACTATAAAATGTTTCCACCTGGCTATAAAGCAAGTTGTGTTCCTGGGCTGAAGAAACTGCAAGGAGGCTAGTCACTAGGGAGAGGAGGCCGGGCGTTGCTACGTGACGTCATTACCCGGCGCCCACAGCCACCGTTTCTGGGCTGGGTTGGGCTGTGGGCTGCATTTTGCGCCATGGGGTCTTGGCAGTGTTGGCTGCAATGTGGTGGGGTGTTGCTCCAGGGTGGTGGTGGGGCCTGTGTCCCACTTGGACAAAGCCGAGTATTGGTTTGTTGGTGCCAGGTCCATGGTGCCATTTATTTTTAAATGACCAGTGAGCATCATGGCAGCTCCTGCATTGAGCGTCTGCCCCCTAGTGGTCAGTGTGCGTCATAGCTAACAGTCATGGGGAAGGATGGACACTCAGCCTTTTATATATATACAGATGTTTGAGCAGGGTACTAACCTGAATGTGTCTGGTTCTATGAAGCTCCTAAAGCAAAAGCGATCTATTATTGCATGACAGGTATAGCATTCACTAGACCAGGGGTGGGCAAACTTTTTGACTCGAGGGCCACAATGGGTTCTTAAACTGGACCAGAGGGCCGGAACAAAAGCATGGATGGAGTGTTTGTGTGAACTAATATAAATTCAAAGTAAACATCATTACATAAAAGGGTACGGTCTTTTTTTTTTTAGTTTTATTCATTTCAAACGGGCCGAATCCGGCCCGTGGGCCGTAGTTTGCCCACGGCTGCACTAGACACAAGTTGAATAAACAAACCAAGATTTCAGTTTTGCAGAATTACAGCTAGGGAAGTGGCTTCATGAAGAGACTACACTTTTAAAGTTATCTTACTTTTAAAAAATTATTCTCATCACATGTTACTTACATTTACTGTATTTCATACTTAAATGATCACAAAGAAATCAAGATTATACTCACTGAAAACTCATGGTGTCAGCTTCCAAAGTACATCTGGTAGGGGATTGCTCATTCAATTTTCGAAAGAGTTGCTTAGCCTGACTCTGGTACTTTTGAAGGTCCCGAAAAGCCTGAAAGAAGACACCTTCATTTAAGGATTTTCCAGCCCTGGCCAGTATTCTCAGTGGTTAGAGTATTGTTATCAGTCTGGATCTGAGGTTGAGTATTGAGAAAGAACAAAGTGAAATCTTAAAATTCTATATAGTAAAATGCTGAGCTAAGAGTAAAAACGAGGAAGCAATAAAAATTATTTCAATGGCAGATAAGCGATGTACAAGTAAGTATAGCTATATTTAAAATGGTGAATTGAAAATGCAAATCAAAACCACAATGAGATACCACCTGACACCTGCCAGAATGGCTAATATCAAAAAGACAAGAAATAACAAGTGTTGGTAAGAATATTGAGAAAAGGGAACCCTTATTCACTGTGGGAATGTAAATATATGTGCAATATTGTTTAATGATAATATATAATGGTGCAGCCACTATGAAAACAGTATGGAGGTTCCTCAAAAAATTAAAAATAGAACTGTCATATGATGCAGCAATCCCACTTCTGGGTAGTTATTCAAAGAAAATGAACACAGTAATTTGAAAAGATATATGCACCCCTAATATTCATTGCAGCATTATTTACAATAGCCGAGATATGGAAACAACCTAAGTGTCCATCAATGGATGAAAGGATAAAGAAGATGTGGTATACATACACAGAATACTATTCAGCCATTAAGAAAATGGAATCTTACCATTTGTGACATCATGGATGGACCTTGAGGGCCATTACATTAAGTGAGTCAGAGAAATAAATACTGTATGACCTCACTTATATGTGAAATCTAAAAAACAAAACAAACAAAACAAAACAAAAAACCAAAATCACAGATGCAGAGAACAGATTGGTGGTTGCCAGGGGGAAGAGGGAGTAGTGAGTCAAAACGAATGAAAGTGATTCAAAGTTACAAACTTCCAGTTATAAAATAAATAAGTCATGGGGATCTAACATACAGCATGACGACTAATATTAATATCATTGTGCTGTATATTTGAAAGTTTCTGAGAGTAAATTTTAAATGTCCACATTACAAGAAAAAAAAAGTAACTATGGCCCTGATCGGTTTGGCTCAGTGGATAGAGCGTCGGCCTGCGGACTGAAGGGTCCCGGGTTTGATTCCAGTCGAGGGCATGTACCTTGGTTGCGGGCACATCCCCTTGTGCAGGAGGCAGCTGATCGATGTTTCTCTCTCATCGATATTTCTAACTCTCTGTCCCTCTCCCTTCCTCTCTGTAAAAAATCAATAAAATATATTTTTAAAAAAGTAACTATGTATGGTGATGGATGGTACCTAGATTTATTGTGGTGACCATTTCACAGTGTATACAAATATCAAATCATTATGTTGTATACCTGGAACTAATATGTTACAGGCCAATTATACCTCAATTAAAAAATAAAATAAATGAGAATAAAATGGTAAACTGAACAATTAAATATGAATAAGAAAGTAAACAAGTGAACCTGGGAGTTAGGCAGAGACCACTAGAACTATCAATTTGTATATTTATCTTGTTCAGCACTGTCTTTATGGCAATGATTTGTTATAATGCTATTCACTTGAGAAATATTTCTATATCAACACATATAAATGTATATATATGCATGTACGTGTGTGAATATGTATGTAAATATAGTTTTATATATTAACACTTTGAAATAATTAACATTATTTACTATCATTAAACAATATTGCGTGTGTGTGTGTGTGTGTGTGTGTGTATAGGGTGTCCAAAAAAATGTATACACACACTTTGAATAATTATAAAGGCAGTGTTTATTAAAATACATTTCATTTTCAAAATTGAGCTATCAGCTGTTCAGGTGTGTATACATTTTTTGGGACACTTTGTATATATATAAAAAATTTTTTTTCATGACTGGTCAGCCAGTAAAGGAGACTGAACACTATCACATACTTTGAACTAGTGAACAATACCCTAGGTTCCTAGGTTTGAATGGTATTTGCCAATCTGTTTGCTTCCCCATGCCCTTATGTAGCATTCAGAAGAGTTCTGACCCCACAACAATAGATAAAAAGAATGCAAGTAAAGTTGGAAACGCTACTAAAGTGCCAAGAAATAATATCAATGTAGATTAATGCTTTTTAACCTTGGCTTTACAATAAAATCACCTGGAGATCTTTAAAAAAAAATACGCATACACAATCTCCACCCCGAAACGAATTAAATCAGCATCTTGCACACAGAGCTCATACACTGCTATTTTTAAAGATACCCACAACCACACATGTTAAGTTTTCTGACAGCTAAAGGCAGGTGAGCACCTTAAAGTTTATTTTATATCTGACAAGTCGAACTTGCTCAAGGGCTTGGGGTCAAGAAGAAAAGGGGCTAGCATTTGAGCCAAAGCAGTCTAGCTCCGAGTTCCTGCTCCTAAGCATGCTATACCACCTCTTCAATTAAAACTGCTGCAGCAATAGCAGATACACCATCCAGGTGATGTTTTACCATTTAATATTAAGTCAAATTCATAGAAAGTTTTCAAGAAACCATGTGGCAGCTTGAATCTAGGTCTCACAACATAAGCACTACGTATGTTAAAGATAAACCCTGTTTGCTTTCAAGATTAAAGTCTACCTAAAAATAATTAGATTAGATATCTTAATTCTGTTTCCTACTTTATCTAAAATGGGCTTGAACCTTTTATACACTATAAGGAAAGGTATCTGTTAGTAATCCAATAATAAAGAGGATGTGAATGTCTGAAAAATTCTGAAACTAATCTGAGTTCATCCAGTAGCATATTTAGGATGTGGTTCTGTATATAATATAAAAAGTACAGGGTAGTAATTGGCCAAACAACTGCAATAATTTCCATTGGTGTCACTAGGACTGCTGAACAACTAGTTGTATCAAATGCCATCTTTTGCCTTTGCAGAATGTCTAGGTAAACACTTATCATTTTTAAATTCCTGATGAGCTCAACTGGTCAAAGGCCAGAAGCACCAAAACCAACCATTTTCCTCTTAATTACAGTAAGGTGATTTATCAAAACTCATTCAACTCTAAACAGACTATGCTTTTTTTGGAGCTATCTGTTGCCTACTAGGTTAGCTCTTCAAGTCCACAGAGCTGGGGCAAAATGAAAGAGAAGAGAGTATGTTTCATTTTGAGGTAGAACAGAAAGGTAGGTGAAAAAAGTGCAAACACCTGAAAAGGAGAAACAGAGAATGGAAGAAAGAAAAAATAGATTATCAGTTAGGGACTCTAGGATTGAAAAGAAAAGTTCATCTCTCTATTGCCCTAGACCCGTGGTCGGCAAACCACAGCTCGAGAGCCACATGCGGCTCTTTGGCCCCTTGAGTGTGGCTCTTCCACAAAATATCACATGCGGGCGCGCACATA